GGGCTGTCAACAGAGGTCTTTAATCAAGGGCAGAAGCCCTCAAAACACGACAGGCTGACAATTCTGAGGTCATGCACCCTAAGGCAACCATGATCCTCAGGAAAAAGATGGATGTGGAGGCAGAGAGCTGGCTGAAATCTTATGCTCTGCCACCTCCTCCTCCCACAGCCCCAGGCCAGGGCCTGACCTCTCTGAGCCTCTGTTTCTTCCTCCGGGACATGGGGTACCAGGAGCTGCCTGCCGCAGGGGAAAGGTAAAGCCCACTTTTGTGGTCTCCTCTTCCTAGAATACTTTTCTTCTCCCAGGTCTCCTCACTTCATTCAGGTCTTTGTCCAAATATCACCTTCTTTTTTTAAAAACATATCTTTATTGATTCCAGAGAAGAAGGTTGAGGGAAAGAGAGATAGAAACATCAATGTGAGAGAGAATCATTGATTGGCTGCCTCCTGCACATCCCCTACTGGGGATCAAGCCCACAACCCAGGCATGTGCCCTTGAGTGGAATCGAACCTAGGACCCTTCAGTGGGCAGGCTCACGCTCTATCCACTGACCCAAACCAGCGAGGGCCAAATATCACCTTCTTAAAGACAATTCTATTTAAAGGCAAATCTCTTCCTCCACTCTTGTCCCCCAGTCACTCCTCACCCTGCATAATTTTCTTCAGAGCACTGCTCACCCCCTTGAAATGTTATATATTGCTGATTTTTCATTTTCCGTCTACCTTGGTAGAGGTTGGGCAGGAAGTTCACCTTTTTCAGCGATGTGTCCCTAGAGCCTAGGACAGTGATGGCGAACCTATGACACGCGTGTCAGAGGTGACACGCCAACTCATTTTTTTTGGTTGATTTTTCTTGGTTAAATGGCATTTAAATATATAAAATAAATATCAAACATATAAGTCTTTGTTTTACTATGGTTGCAAATATCAAAAAATTTCTATATGTGACACGGCACCAGAGTTAAGTTAGGGTTTTTCAAAACGCTGACACGCCGAGCTCAAAAGGTGGCCATCACTGGCCTAGGACAACCTGGCATGTGACAGATGTTTAAATGTATTTGGAGAATGGGAGAGTGAATGAATGAGCCAGTGCTTAACAGTTTGGGATGCTCGGTGAGCCAGCCTTGTAGGAGGATTCTTTATGGTTCCCTATCAGATCCATGGCCTCCACTCCTAAGCCTCCCCACTCTTCCCCGTTGGACTCTTTCTGTGAATGGCATCCTTAGCCACTCCAGATCAAAGCCTGGTCATCACTTCTCATTTCTCCCTCCCTCTAGCACACATATCCAACCAGCTGCCACTGCAGTCTCCTGCATCAACTCCTTTTCCTCTTCATTCTTACAACCACCCCCAGTCCCTGACCCTCCTTATCTCTCATCTGGACACCCCATTGTTTCCTACCTGGCTCCCTCCAATCTGTTCTCCACAGGGGAGTCAGGGTGAGTTTCCTAATGGCCAGGTCTGATCATGTCTCTCCCAAACTAAAAAACTAAAGACCAACCCCTTAGCTCAGCACTCAATGCCCCCAGTCACATTCCCCACCCTCATACCTAGACTTCCTTCTCACTGCTCCTCTTTTAACCTTTTTGCACCGGTTGGAATGAACCGCTTTCCAGTTTCTACACATGCCCTAGAGCCCCCCACGGCCTATTCTCTGCTCATGCTGTTTCCACTAGTGATATTTCCCCTCCTTTCTTCTACTGTACAAATCATTTAGACCCAGCTCAAACACTACCTGGCATCTCCAAGAAGTCATTCCTGATCTTCAGGAAGAATAAAACCCCTCCATCTTCTCAACTTTTTCCAATCTCTTTTTTTAGGGCAGGTCTTGGAAAAGGACAGGCAACATGACAGAGAAGAAAAAGTTCAGAATCTGGAGTCAGATACCTGAGCAGGAGGCACAGCTCTCTGGCTCAGAGGCTTTCACAGGACACCCCTGTAGATAAGTTAAACTGAGTCTTAACTTCCCCATCTACAAAATGGCAGCAGTAACACTATTGATCTCATGTGTGTGCTATGAGGATTAAGTTATAAGTGATAGAGTGTAAGAAGAGTGTTGACACTATATACATTAATAAGTGCAATCACACTTAGGTGTGAAATACCTGGTAAACAAAAGTGCAATTTCTCCCAGGGAGGTTGCATGAGCCCTCAGTGGGGAGAGGGTTTTGAGGAAGAGGGACTTTGAGGCCCTAAAGTCTCAGGTCCTTAGGCAATCTGAAAAAGGAAGAAGTGGAGGGTATAACCATAATGCTGAGGCCCTAAAGCAGCGGTTCTCAACCTGTGGGTCGAGACCCCTTTGGGGGTCGAACGACCCTTTCACAGGGGTCGCCTAAGACCGTCGGAAAACACATATATAATTACATATTGTTTTTGTGATGAATCACTATGCTTTAATTATGTTCAATTTGTAACAATGAAATTGGGGGTCACCACAACACGAGGAACTGTATTAAAGGGTTGCAGCATTAGGAAGGTTGAGAACCACTGCCCTAAAGCTACCAATTCCTGAGCTTATTTTATACCCCATGCTAAGTACCCTACCTACATGATCTCATCTCATCTTATTCCCTCACAGAGTAATAGAAGAGGACAACCAAAATCACTCAAGATCAAAGCCATCACTTCTAATTCCTTCCTCCCTCTAGCACACATATCCAATCAGCCCATAGCTGTTAAATCAATAAGTGCCTCCCTCCCTAACCGGTTTGGCTCAGTGGATAGAGCGTTGGCCTGCAGACTGAAAAGTCCCAGGTTCGATTCCGGTCAAGGGCATGTACCTTGGTTGCAGGCACATCCCCAGTGGGGGGTGTGCAGGAGGCAGCTGGTCGATGTTTCTCTCTCATCCATGTTTCTAACTCTCTCTCCTTCTCCCTTCCTCTCTGTAAAAAATCAATAAAATATATTAAATAAAAAAAAAAAAATAAGTGCCTTCCACCCCCAAGAGTTCAGACCTGAAAGATCTCCTGAAACTCTTCAATCCAATTATCTTATTTTTTTTGGATGGAGGAACTGAGACCCATGTCCGGCCAGTAAGGAAGTCTGGGCCTGGAACCTTGATCTTTTCGCTCTCAGGGTGGGAGCTACTGCCCTGTGAAAACCCAAGGGCCACTACTCCTTACGAAGTCTGTGCAAATGGTTCTTCCGGAGCACGCTGCCATTAGGTGGCCTGCAATGTGAATGGTGGATCCTGGCGTCACATCACCTGGTCACCGTGGTTCTGCCCCATGCCAGGCTGCTTATCCCACGCAAGAAGGAAGCTCTTGAGACTAGAGCATCGGTTCTCAAACTGTGGGTCGCGACCCCTTTGGGGGTCGAACGACCCTTTCACAGGGGTTGCCTAAGACCATCAGAAAACACATATATAATTACATATTGTTTTTGTGATTCATCACTATGCTTTAATTATGTTCAATTTGTAACAATGAAATTGGGGGTCACCACAACATGAGGAACTGTATTAAAGGGTCACGGCATTAGGAAGGTTGAGAACCACTGGACTAGAGCCTCAGGCCCCTAGACACTGATTACTGCTCTCCTTACCAACTATCCCATCCAACGGAGTCTCCTCAAAGGTGAATGACTATCCAGTCACCATCCAGCTTGCACTCCTTCACCTTACCTGCTGGGGCACCTTCTCTGTGCCAGCTCTGGGGACACCCGGCTGCCCTTGAGGAAGCCTTGCCCTGAGCTGCCACCAGAGCCTGTAACTCAAGCTTCCCTAGCTGCTTTGTCAGCAACACCCAACAAACATCAAGAAGGAAGAGGTGGCCCGACATGAAGGACTGGGGGATCTCCAAAAAGCGATGCTGGAAGAGGCTGGTGGGATTAAAGACCTAGCCTTTACAGAGGAGGGAAGAGTGACTGGGAAGGCATGCAGGCAGGTCAAAGTGGGGGGAGGGGATGGCTCCTTGGATGCTACATCACCTGGTCCAATCGAGGACACAGGCTCAGGGACTCCTGGGAGAGCCAGGATGAACACCGTGGTATCTGATTTCCCGTTCAGGACTGATTCATTATCCCAAACTAAATCCCAAACCTGGGGTGCTTGCATAAGAAAGCTCTCCTCTGGGCGGAATGAGACAAATTAAAGGCTAACCTCTTTTCTTTCTTTCTTTTTTTTTTTTTTTTTCAGTAAGGATGGTAGCAAATGAATGGCACATGACGCTCCAAGTGGGGGCGAGGTAGGAATTACAAAGACTTTCCTGATACACCAAGATGAATTTTGGCGTTCTGGGTCTTCAATGGGAATAGGAGCGAATTGTATAGTGGGGAAAGGAGTATGAAAGCCAGGGACCCTAGATTCTAATGCAGGCTTTGCCGCTAACTCTCCGGTGACCTTGGTCAAGCCATCTCACCGGGCCTCAGTTTCCCCATCTGTAAAAGGAGGGGGTTAAATGAGTTCCAAAGGTTCAACTGGTCCTGACATGATCCTTGGTGAAGTAGCCCCTCCTGGCTCAGACGCAGGCCATCTGCAGGCTTTGCAGGAAAAGGGGGCATGCTGGGGGTGGGGAACGCACTGGGCTTTTATTTGGGCGGTGGGTGGGGAGTGGGTGGGTGAAGCTGTGGGGTTTGGGGTCGCGAAGCGAGGCGAGGAAGCCGCGGTTTCCAAGCAAACGGGCTGGCGGCGACGTCCAGTCTCCCCCTGGAGCTGCAGACCTGGAGAGGCGACGCAGCCCAGAGCCGCGCACTGGCGTCGGCCGCAGAGGCTGGGACCCGGACCCCTATCCCGATCCCTCCATGGAATTGGGTCCGAGCTCCGCGGGGAATGGTTGCTGCTCCTTCGCGACTCCCCAGCGCCCGGCCTCCTCCCCTGGGTGGGGACCCCACCCCCGTCCGGGGGCGCTGGGAGCCCCGTGGGGGCGTGGCGGGGGCGGGCGCCAGCTTTGGTCCCCGGGGGGCTGGAAGAGGTGTCAGCGGCGAGGCCGCTCCGGGAGGGACCGCGCGCCCTCCGCCTTCCGGCTCCCCACACAAAGGCGCCGACGGAAACGCCACACTTACCGGCCAGAGCGGGCTCCAGGCGCCGGCGAGCGGGCGGGCGGGCGGAGGTTCGCGCGCGAGGGTGCGTGTATCTGCGTGTGTCCCTGTAAGTGTCTGCGCGAGTGTGTCTGTGTGTGCGTGTGTGTGTCGGGAGCCGCGCCGAGCTGTGTGCGTCTGCGTGTGCGGGGGCGTCCGGCCGTCCTTCTGTGCGCCCGGCGCTCCGTCCCGCTCCCCGTGCGCGCTCCTCGGCCGGACCGCCCCACCAATGCGCCTCAGCTGCGGAGTCGCGGGCGCAGCCGCCGGGTGGTTCGGCACCCTCCAGCCCAGCCCGGCTCCGCCCCGCCCCGCCGGCGGGAGGGCTCGCGCCGCGCCCGGAATGGCGCAGGGCCGGCGGGGCTGGCGGCTGGGGGCGGGGAGCCGGCTGCGCCCTGGGCCCGCGCGGGGCCGGGTCGCGGACCCTCAATCCCTGATCCGCGTCTCCGGGCTTCCTCTCTCCCCGACTGGGCTCGGAGTCCCCGTAGGCACCGCCCCCGCGCTGAGGTTGCCTGGCCCGGGAGGGCGGGGAGACCGGAGCACCGCATCCATTTCATTCATGATTTTCTCCTCTCCGGAGCCCCAGGCCTGGGCTGCGCCGCTAAGGCGACCGCCAGAGGGACCCCGGCGGGGTCGTGCGCGCCGAAACCTGTGGGGAACGGACATGCAGACAGATGGGAATAGGGGAAAGTGAGACAAAGGGATCAGAGCTGGGAGAGGGGTGCTGTGGGCTCCCCACCAGATGCTCACAGGATGCCCACACCTGCACAGGCGGAGAGGTTGCAGACCCGAGCGCACACAGTGCCGGTGCCCAGGACGCGCTCCAGGGCTGGGAGGTGGCACCCTCCTCCCCACCCTTCCCTGTGCAGTCTCTGGGGAGCAGGACATCCCTCTCCCAGTTCTAGCCCTCCTGACGGGTTGCTGGGCGCACACCTGTATTGACTTTCTCCTGGACACCAGGGGCAGGCAAGGAGCTGCCCATAATCCCACACCCCCAGGCTGGCACCCCATTGGCCGGAGGTTCCAATGTTTTTATTTTTATTTATTTATTTGTTAATCCTCACCGGAGGATATTTTTCCATTGGTTTTTAGAGAGAGTGGAAGGGAGAGGGGGAGACAGAGAGAAACATCAATGTGAGAGAGACACATTGGTTGGTTGCCTTGTGCATGCACTCCCACCAGGGCTGGGGAACCTACAATCAAATTAGATGCCTTTGACCAGAATAGAACCCCGGCCCTTCAGTCCGCAGGCTGACGCTCTACTCACTGAGCCAAACCAGCTAGGGCCAATGTTTTTTGTTTTTTATTTTTTACTAGAGGCCCAGTGCATGGATTCATGCACTGGTGGGGTCCCTCGGCCTTGCCTGTGGGGATTGGGCTGAAACTGGCTTTCTGGCATCCCCCAAGGGGTCCCAGATTTCGAGAGGGCACAGGCCAGGCCGAGGGACCCACTGGTGCATGATTGAGGGACCCACTGGTGCATGATTGAGGGACCCACTGGTGCATGGTCGGGGCCAGGGAGGAACTGGGGGAGGGCTCCAGGGCATGTCTGGCCTGTCTCATCCAGTCTTGATCACCGGACCCCAGCAGCAAGCTAATCTACTGGTTGGAGCATCTGCCCCCTTGTGGTCAGTGCGTGTCATAGCGACTGGTCAAATGGTCAAATGAACGGTCGGACACAGCATATTAAGCTTTTATTATATAGGATTTTAAGCGTTGGGCTGCACAGTTTGGGAATTCTAAGCTCCGTTTTTACACGAGGAAATCTCCATCCACCATCCTCTTTGGCCTGGTTGTCCACAACAGCATCCTTACTGGTTTCCCTGCTTCCACCCTTGGCCCCTTGCCATTGATTCTCTAGACAGCAGTCAGAACCATCCTTTTAAAACATAAGTCAGATCACATTGCTCCTTTACTAGAAATCATACAAGTGAAAGCTCGAGCTCCTATTAACGGCCTGCAAGGCCTCTCATGAGCTGGCTTCCTTTTAACTTTCTAATCTTAACACCTCAGTCATACTGGTCTTTTTTTTTTTTTTTAAGTTTTTATTTATTTCAGAGAGAGAAAGGGAGAGGGAGAGAGAGAAATATCAGTGATGAGAGAGAATCATTGATCCCCAAGTTCCACAACCCAGCCATGTGCCCTGACCAGGAATCGAGCCATGTGCCCTGACCAGGAATTCTTAGGTCTGAGCCACGCTGGTCGGGCACACTGGCCTTTTTAATGCATTACCAACATGGCAACCACTTTGTGGCCTCAGGACCTTTGTACTGCTATTTTCTCTGCCTGAAAACTTACCCCAGGTAGTCACATGGCTTGCTCTGTAATCTCTTAAATATGTCACTTCAAAGAGGCTTTCTGAGATCATCCTATTTTAAATTGCAGGGCCCCTCCCCACTGCATTTTCTCCATTGCAATCATGATTTTTATTTTGTGTTCCCTACTGCTCAGGCTCACTGGCCCTTCACTACCAGCTCTCCACTCTGTGCTCTGGCCTCTCAGTCCTCCTGCCTCAGCAGACCACTCTGTTCTCTAAACAAGCCCCACAGGTCTAACCTTTGTTCATGCTGTGCTTTCAGCCTGGAATGCCTCCCCCGCTCCCCCATGTCTCACCTAATTTTTAAGGTCCAGTTCAAATACCTCCTTCTCTGTGGAGCCTTCCTCATCTTCCCAGGGACACTCAGCCTCATGCCTTTTTGTTTGCTGTAACAGCAGTTCCTTGCCCTTTCCCCCAAGTGCACTGTGAACCCCTGGGATAGGGTTGCGTCTTCTCTCTCCCAGAGGAGGGACCAGCAGTACATGTTTGTGGATCAAGGGCAGTGAATGGGAGGCCCTGGCCTGGGCCTTGATTAGTTTTTTTTTTTCTTAGGAGGGGCACAGAGTCCAGCTAAATCTTGTTATTCCCAGGTAGTTTCCTGCGTAGTGAGGAGAAGGATCAAATGTCAGATAACCAGGCCATGATGCTCATTCAGCCGGATTGGAGGTGTGGGTAGGCATGTCAGCAAGTGCTCAATGACACATTCTCCCCTTGAGAGCATCATCTCTGTGGCTCAGCCAGCATAAGGCTGACGGCGTCAGTGTAACAATAGCAGCTACCACAAACGAGGGCTTACTATGCGCCAAGCACTGCTTTGTGTGTTTTCAAGGTAGCGCTTTATTTAACCTTCATGGCAACCTTGGGAGGTAGGCATTGAATGTTTTCATTTTCAGAAGCAGAACAAGAAGGAATATGTGACTTACCAAGGTCCTCCTGTTGATAAGTGAGGGGCGTGTGTTTCAAATTCAGACCTAGCGAATGAATACCAAAGCTTATAGAACCGGGAAGCCTTAACTGGGGAGGCCCTGGGGGCTGATGGAGGGGAGGGGAGGGGCTTAGGAAGCCTCTGAATTCAGCTCTAGAGTCACAGCGATGGCACCCCCAGAGGGCCTGGGCCTCACAGGCTTCTATCAGCGGTGGCTGCGATGTCCTGTAGTGGGGGCTGGTGCTTGCCCTGCATAAAGGCAGTTTCAGAAGGCCAGAGCTGCCTCTCCAGCATTCCTAGCCATGTGCTCTGGGGTCAAGCCCAGTTCCAGCTGTCAGATGTGGATAACAATGCTCATCTCCAAGGGTTACGGGGAGGAAGAAGTGTGATGATATACCTAGGAGGTAGGAGGACCTCCAAAAAGATCTTTCCCCTTCTTATAGGGAGTTCCCAGCATATAGGGCTATTCTTAAACTAGTCTTCTCAGGGCCTGCCCTGTCCATCCTCTCATTGAAGAGTATCCTATTCCCATGGTCCGTTGCGTGTTGCCCTGGGGTGCAGGTAAGGAAGGAAAGTCTAGCATGTATTGAGGGCTTTACCAATATGCTATCCATGTTGTTTTCCTTCATCTTCACAGGCACCTTAGGAGGAGGTACTATTATTACTGACAAGGAAACGGGGGCCCAGAGAGGCCCAGGGACTTCCCCATGGCCACTGCACTCACTAGTTAATGGCAGTAATGAGATTCTGCACCAGCACCATTTCCCTAATCCCATCACCATGGAAAGCAAACCCCATCTAGCTCCTCTCTGATCGGGAAGAAGGAGCGTTCTCTGAAACTCACAGCAATGAAATCGTTGTGAGGTTGGGAGGCTTTAGGCTTATGGGGTCATTTCATGTGACTCATTTCCTCTCTCGATAGAGGGAGGAAGAGGGGTTTGGGAAAGAGAAAGATGATCTGGTCTCCGGAGAGTGTCTTGCTGGTGGTTTCTGATGGATGATTGGAAAAGAGGGTCTAGTTCTTTTGCTTTTGGCCTCACAATTCACTCTATTGTAATGAAATGTTTTATTTTAGTGAAAATGTTCCTCTATCTAGATTTTTATTTATTTACTTGCTTATTTATAACCCTCCCCAAGCCACAAAGGATTTGAGGGAGTTTACCACAAGAGCAGAAACCATAAAACAGTGTTAAAATGTCAGTAAGGATAGAGAATCGGGACCAAGGAAAATGTAAGTAAACTTTGAGAGATAAGACCAAAGCTTAATAATTACAGCCGATTTTTACTGAGTTCTTGTGTGCACAGGAATGTATGGACATTATTTCATTTAGAAGAGCCCTGTAAGGGAGGTGCTATTATTATTTTCATTTTGAGGTACAGGGAACTGAGGCTCAGAGAGGTTAAATATGATGCCCAAAGTCATGTAAGTAGCAAATGGAAGAGCCAGTATTTAAATCCAGTTTGGTGTTGGAACCCGTGTCCTTAACCACTGTCTTGTCCTGCCTCTCCAAGGGACAATAGACCACACATTTGCAGACCACAGAGGCCTCTAGAGGACTGAGCCTCAGATTTGGTTCTGATCTTATTGGATGTGAAAAAAAAGGGGGTGGTGGTGGTCAGTTTCATAGAAATAATGCCCTCACCTCCTTCAAGGCTTGGCTCAAGTATCACTTTCTTAATGACACCCACCCTGACCACTCTCCTTATAACAGGTGCTCAATAAGCTTTTGTTGAACACTTCAGTGATTATTTCAGAGAGGAAGAAACAGGAAATCTATCTAAAGTGACAAGGTAGGTTGTGTTCTATTTACTAGCTCATATTTTCTTTCCCTTCACTCTTCTTTTCTCCTTTTCTTTCTCTTTCACCTTCTTGTTTCCATAAAGAATTTGAGGCAGCTCTAGCACTTAGCTTTCAGAGCAAGTCTTCCAAGAGAGTTTCCTGAGGGTGGGCCCTTAGGGTCCCTGAGGCCAATGACTTTATTTTCATTGTTTCAGCAGATGTATCAGTGGGATTCATGAAGCTGATTTTGGTGGGGTCTCAAGGAAATCTGGACATCCTCCCCACACCTAAATTGGCAAAGGTAATCCTTTGGGGAGGGGGGTAGTGGCAGGCAGGTCCTAGGAAAAGTGTCCCAAGTACCATTTCCAAGGGATTTGGGATTTGGAGCAGATGCTATGAGGATGGAGGTGGGAAAATAAAAAGCAGAGTTTTCCTGTGAGACTATTGATTTAAAGGAAGAG